TGTAAAATTAAAAAGTTTATTTGATGATTACATTATTTGTAAGGGCACTATTATATCAATATAAAATAAAAAGTGAATGAAAGCAGAATTGCTTCTCATTTGCTGTGAACATATAGCTTGTGTGTCCCTTTAAATATCCAGATTCCTAGTTCCTAAGGAGGATTGAAAGGAAAACATTTAATGGTGAGTCAGAACATGACAACACGATATTATGTAATTACAGGAGGAGAGCAGAGAATCTTAACTCTGACATTTAAAGACACAGATATGCAGTAATTCCAGCTATCACAAAAGGTCAGCAAATGATGGCATGGGTGCTAACTAAGCTAGTTTGAAACATGGCACTGCCTCTTTGTCCTGACATCTGTTAGAATTATTCATTAAACTGTGAACTGTCAGGATATCAAAGTGGAATATCACTTTTTGGCCAAAATAACTGAATGAAAAATTCTCAGAGTAGACCATTTTGTTTAGTTCGGCTATTTTGAATATATCCAGTTTAGTGAAAAACCCTGACATTGTGCTAGGTTCACCATAGACCCGGAGATCCTTTTTGGACTGAACGGCAATTCGGCCGAATGTGGGCAGATCGGCTGTTTGGCAAAGTTTTAGAATTCCGAGCAGACATTAACCTGAATTATGGGCTAATGAAACTTGCAATGCTACACATGTTTGTGGAGGTCAATATCCTGAATTCTGCTTTTGGTGCCAAAAATAGAAGTGATTGATGAAAAAAAAAAAAAGACGATTGATAGTTTGGGGACAGTAAGAAAATTTTTTGTTGTTTTTTTACAGATCAAATAAGAAGTGAGCAATAGAGAGAAAAATAGGAGGAGTAGTAAAAAAAATATCTGTATTTAAATATTTAATAAATATATAATAAATCTTTTTTTAATTATTTCTTTTATTAAAAATTATCACTAGAATGGCTGACTGGTAGAATTCTCACATCAAATTACAGGAAAATGCTCCTATTGGTGTAGTGCAAAATATATACCGTATTACTCGAATCTAATGCCCACTTTTATTGGCAAAATAAAGTCTCCAAAATTTGAATGCACATTAGATTAAATGGTGCACTAGATTCGAGCATGAACTAGATATGGCGGGCATACGATGTGAATTCGCCAGAGTGAAATTCACATTCAAATCACTGCGATAGAGATGATAAACTTGGTTTCTCTTTTTTAAATTCTTTATTTTGTCTTGTATGGAAAATACAAAGAGGCATGCAATGCCAAAACAGCTATTGTTACCATTTCAATCAACATTCCAAGACAACAGCACTGCACATTTTATATTAGAGTGTAGAATGAGCATGAGGTGAACCAACATGTCAGATACAATACAAGGAAGATGTGGAAATAAGTCAGATTAAACATACTGACATTATTGAAAGATTATGGGAAAACAAGCTTAAAGGACCACTATAGTGCCAGGAAAACATACTCGTTTTCCTGGCACTATAGTGCCCTGAGGGTGCCCCCACCCTCAGGGTCCCCCTCCCGCCAGGCTCTGGGGAGAGGAAAGGGTTAAACGTACCTTTTTTTCCAGCGCTGGGCGGGGTGCTCTCCTCCTCCTCTTCGGCTGAATGCGCATGCGCGGCAAGAGCTGCGCGCGCATTCAGCCTGTCTCATAGGAAAGCATTTACAATGATTTCCTATGGACGCTTGCGTCTTCTCACTGTGATTTTCACAGTGAGAAGCACGCAAGCGCCTCTAGTGGCTGTCAATGAGACAGCCACTAGAGGTTTTAGAGGCTGGATTAACCCTATTATAAACATAGCAGGTTAACCCTTGCTGAACCAGGCACACAGACCACTTCATTAAGCTGAAGTGGTCTGGGTGCCTAGAGTGGTCCTTTAAAGGAGACATTTCCAATTTTTATGATTTCTAAAGAAACAAGGCTTGAAATGTCAAGCAACTATCCTCCTAGGAGGCCTCCCACTGCGGCAATTACAATTAGAATTCCAAGTAGTAAATCAAAACAAAAACAAAACACAATAATCAGAAGGAAACATTGATCTAGGCAAAAGTTATGGCTATGGGGCTTTCTGCTTATATGGAAAGACAGGCGGTGGCAAATCATAGGCCATGGGTCCCAGAGAGCCCTACAATGCATCCTTATTCAGCCTATGCCTTCACAGAAGGACTTCAGGCCCCACATTAATGATACTTGCAGATAGTTCTGGGAGCATGTCGCCTTCGAGTTTTCCACTGGCCACAAATTCCGCAGAGCTGTACAATTGGGAAAAGACAAACACAATAAGAACAGACCGATACAACAGGGCCCTGCCCGTGAGCTTACAATCTAAAGGTTAAACTGGGGAGATGAGACAAGAGGTAGCAGAGGGATTTGTATGTAATGGCAGAGAGAGTTAATAGTATAACTGCAGCAGCTGATAGCATGTGAAGGGAATGAGGAGGTGATTGGCTATGGTTCCAAACAGCTGGAAGAGCATGCTATATAGTTAGAAGGAACCAGGGTGGGCGGATACAGGGATGTATGAAGACTTGGGGCTAAGGAAGAGAGAAAAAACTGTTACTTAAAAGGCATTGTTTGTTTGCTTTGTGATCTCAGATTTGTGCAATAGCAGATAACAGGATACATGTTTAGTAATCTGTCTCATGTGGAGGAATCTAGTTTTATTCGCCAACTGAGGGTTTGGTTGGTGACTGGCATATCCACATCCGAACAAGGCACTCCCAGGCTTCTGTGGGTGCCTGCACCAATAGTCCATGGATTCTGGACCTCTCAAGTACCAAGTCCTTTCCCCCGTCCAGGGTAAATGGGGGGTTTGGTTGGTGTAGGCTGCGTGCAATCCTCCTTACACTTGGTTGATGCAGTGAGGCAGAAGAAGGTGAGCGGCAGTGCTAGAAGGCACGTTAATAGCAGGATCACCTCGAGGGAGATCAATTTCCCCCGCAGGTTTACTTTCAGCTCCTGATACTGTGGCAATCCAGCTTGGGATCTTGCCCGAATCATCTCCTAGAAGGCCTGAAATATTTCATCCAGGGGACATAAGATGCTTGTTGCAGGGATGTAAAGAGGCTCATGAGGTGGGTTCAGGCCTTGTCTGGCCACCATCAAAGGTGCAGGTGTGTTGCAAGGGAATATCACCAGTTAGCTTGAAGCTGCATCCAGCTGACCACCATGTGGGGACCAGGATATCCCCCACCGGTCCAAAGGGGGAGTGGAACAGGGCTCAGGATTAGTAGGCTCTAAATCGAGGCCGTGGATCGGCCGCCTCCTCACCCTCAATTGTAGCCGTAGGCCTCAGAGGAGTCTCACATGGGCTGTGGCTGCAGGATTTAGGCTGAAGTGACACAGATATGTAGCAGTGTACTCCCTGGGAGTAAGAGCAGGATTTCAGCTAAAAATAGAACAGTATTGCCCAATTTCAAGGCATTTAGTGCCTTTTACCAGAGGAGCTGCAGGGCCATGCGACTAACTTGGTCTATGGTCAGGCCCTGCTGAGACATGGTTTCTGTGTACAGTAAAGCTATACTTCGCATCTTTGCTATACTTCGCATCAGAGGGCGGTTATTCCATATCAACCTATATGTTTTATAGTAGCATTTCTTACATTCGCCAGCCAAAATATTTTTCGACTTCCAGGTTTCAAATTTTGAATGCGCATTAGATTCGATAATGCAGTACATAATATTATATTATGCACGCTGGTCGGTCCATTTTCAAACCTTTATCATCTGAAAAAAAATCACCAGTGGAACTAAAATTTGTCGCTGTGCACAAGTCTAGTTGATAGCTTATTCTTATATATACAAGCCTTAATTGTCTGTCCTTACACAGCTTTCAGTGGAGATCCCTCAGAACTCCTGCCTTTGTGGCATTCAGTAAATGACATCCGAACAATTACATTTCTTAACACTAACATGTATGGAGCAAAACAAAATTCCTGGCAATTCACAGGAATGCAAATACAGATTAACCAAAAAGGGCAAGAAAATAGGCCAATCAGGGTACTGCAAAATATAAATATAGTACATTTTCCAATACACTCATAGGTCCGTTTTAGCACCATTTGGATCACAGAGCAAGTGAGAATAAAGTAAACAATAGAGGGGAAAAGAAGTAAAAATATATATAGATTTTTTTATTTTTTCTGTTCCTCCTTTTTTTACAGTCTATTGGCCACTTCGTACATGACCTGTGTATAAAATAAATAATTAGTGGCTGTAGGGTAATCATCAATCATGTTGTAGCGTAATCATCAATCACGTTAATTATCCCATCAATCATCTCTTTTTTTGACACCATATGGCACTTTGAAGTTACAGAATTCAGATGACCCGCTAATCGCCTAAAATTCGGATGACTCCCAGAAGGTTTGAAACTGAGCAGAATCTACTCATGGACATGTGTACAAACCACTGCATTCCATCAAAATACAAAGCAACAAAACTGGGTGACTTTAAAACCCTTCCAAATATTAAACCTATCATATTATCTGACCAAATTTCTATTTGAAGGTAGAGAATTACTTGTAGGATAATTAAATCCATAGAAATAAAACCATATGTTCATGTTACTATGTCTATATAATCTGATAACATACCAGTGACAAGGGCAGATTGGGCAGCAACCATGTGTTTGATGGAAGTTTAGTAGAATGGACTTTAAATGAGCTTTAAACTTATTTATTTATTTATAAAATATTTTACCAGGAAGGATACATTGAGATTTCTCTCGTTTTCAAGTATGTCCTGGGTTCACAAAACATTGCATTGATACATTAGGGTACAATAAAATACAAAAACAATATTAATACACAATATAAACAAAATTTAACATAGAACAGATAGGAAATGTATAATCAACCATGACAGGTGCATTCTGTTTTGAGGTATGTAGAGAGGGATCTCTTAAAGGACTTTAGGCCTGGGGACAATTTGAAAGTGTGCGGGAGGTCGTTCCATAATTGCGGCGCTCTGTAGGAGAAGGAGGACCGGGCCGCTTTCTTTTTGTATTGAGGTAGACTAAATAAAGTGCTGGTACTGGATCAGAGGTTATAGGAGGTGGGAACAGCTGGGGAGAGCATTCTGCTCAGGTAGGGTGGGAGCTTCCCGGGAAAAGCTCTTAAACACAAGGCTGGAAAGATGAAGGGTGCGTCTGGATTCCAGCGACAGCCAGTTTAGTTCTTTTAGCATGTCACAATGGTGGGTCCTGTAATTATATTGCAGCACAAATCGGCAGAACGAGTTATACAATGTATTGAGTTTATTAAGGTGGGATTGCGGTGCAGGTGCATATACTACATCCCCATAATCAATGATTGGCATCAGCATTTGCTGTACCATCTTTTCCTTTACTGTAGGGCTTAGGCAGGATTTGTTTCTGTACAGGACCACCTAGTTTTGGATAAAGTTTAGATGCAAGCTTTTCTATGTGGAGGCCAAAAGATAGATTGGGGTCTAATATCATACCCAAGTATTTGAAAGAGTGGACTGCGGTCAGTGTGCCATTTGAATTTGTTTTGATGGATAGGTGGGAATTGTGTAATTTAGGTACTGTTCCAGAGATCATTGTGACAGTTTTGTCAGTGTTTAGGAAGAGTTTGTTTTTTTGTGATCACCTTTTCTACCTCTGTGAACTGGTCATTACAATAAATTTCTGAAAAGAGTTTACATATTTCCATCGTGTGCCACAATTTAATACAATACAATAAAAATCAATAGAAAAACACAAACAATTAGAGATTTATGTATTGCAATTTTTTAACTAAAGTATATGATGCACAAGTCTCAGAATTACCCAAACAGGAATGACAAGCCACCCACCCCAGCGAGTGGATGAAAACACCAAAATAGTGGGGCCACAGCTTTGTTAGTTATCAAGCCTTAAACGGATTCATTAACGAAATATAGACCTGCATAACTTTTAAATCCATTCTTTCTTTGTACTGAAGCAATTGTCGCCAGCGGTTAGACTCGGGTCAAGTAGACAGATCCACCAGACTCCACGTTCGATCCCTGAAGCATGTGCTGAACAGGAAGACCCCTCCTTCATGAGCTCCAATACCTGTTCATGCACCGGCCAGGAAATAGCACCACCAAGTTGTGACAACACTGAGAAGTTTAGGGGGGCTTATGGTAATTTTATTCCCTAAATGCCGATTTGCAGTGTGTTAAAAACTGAATTGTAACATCCTGGCTAAAATAACCAAACTAAAAAGTTCTTCAGCTTTGCTATAGTCTCAACTTGGCTATTTCAGCATACAGTTTACAATTCGATATCAATTCTTTACAATTCAAGTGAATTAAACTTTGTGAGAATAATGCTATTTCTATTGGTATAGGCATATGTTGCTATTGCAGTTTTACCCATTTAGACTTTTTTTCTCAGCAAATGAATTTTGCATTTATTTTTCCATTGAAAACTGTGATAACCTATGGTGACTTTTTACCCCTTTGCGCTGCAAAAATAATTGAGAGGCATCTAAGAATTAACTGCTATTTAGATTTTAGCCTCAATTTAATATTTTTGTATAATCTGTTCAAATGATTTAATATTTTAAGATCCAAAAATATTATATCATTTGAAAATCTAACCCCCAAAAAATAAATAAATGTCTTTATTAGGTGAATTATAACTTCCTTCCTCTCAAACATGTAAAATTATTGCCGCTCGAGATCTTCAAGTCTTAGAATGCCTCAGACACAGCACAAGATTTCTGATCATTCTGTTCCATAGTGGTGTTGACAGGTCCACATTTTTGGCAGCAAGTAGAGGGCATTCCTTGCTTAATATTGAAGTAATATTACAACAAACATACTCCACTGCTTAAAACTCACAAGGTAATTCATGAAACATCAGCTTTTGTCAAAGTGGACAAAATCTGGTGCAAATGGTCCAATTCTGACATGAATAGCAATTCTTGTATTTACTAAAGCTAAATCTGGGCGGAATTTAGCTGCACAACCAAATCTGTTCCAATCGGCCAGATGCATTCCATGTCTGGTTTATGATTAGTGCTTTATAACATATATGGGATTTTTAATGATCACAAAGCACCAATTAAAAAAAAAAAAAAAACATCACTGAGTGCTTACTGCAGGGTGTTAGCAAATTATAAAGATGTATAAAACACTTATAATGAATGCAATGAATTTATAGTGAAATACTGCCATTTCTGCTCATTGGGGTATACCTAACACATCTTGCAAAACCTGCAGTTCGCTTGGCTCCTGCCTTTGCAGACCCTCCCCATCCAGCCCTGCCCAGGCTTTCTACGGCTCTCCAATCACGGACATTCCAATGCAGCTAAATAGGAAGTTTTTGCAAGGCAGATGCTGTGCCAAAATAGCTCTTATGCGTCGAGGCATGGACTCCACAAGATCTCTGAACATGTCCTGTGGTATCTGGTACCAAGACATTAGCAGTATGAACATGTTGCCTTTAAGTCCTGCAAGTTGGGTAGTAGGGCCTCCATGAATCAGATTTGTTGTTCCAGCACATCCCCAGATACTCAATTGGATTGATATCTGGGAAATTCCGAGGCCAAGGCAACATCTTTCTCATGTTCCTCAAGCCATTCCTGAAAAATATTTACAATGTGTCATGTTGCATTATCTTGGTTACTTCCATTAGGGAACACCATTACCATAAAAGGATGTATGTGGTCTGCAACAATCTCCTGGACAATTGTTCTTCCTTGCACCTTTTCTGGTAGGTACTAACCAGTGTATATTGAGAACACCACTCAAGACTTGCCATTTTGGAGATGCTTTGACCCAATTGTCTAGCCATCACTATTTATTGAGAATTTTTTCTGCTTCCAACACATGAAATAAAGAACTGACTGGTCACTTGCTTGCTTATAGATGGGTCAGTTTGGCAAATTACTACAGGTTTAAATCATTGCATGGTCCTCTTTGCACCACTATATTTGCAACAATGGAAAGTTGTTATAGTGGTTAGACTGAATTTTTTAAAGTATTAAACAGTACATTTGTATTAGATGAAACACTATTTTACATCAGTCTTGAAGGGGTTAGTATAAAATATACATTTTCTTAAAAAATAATAAAAAACAACACATGTAAAAGAACAATAGAGTATCACAGCTGGATGACTGTGTGTTTACAATTTAATCTTGGTTTGAATAATCTCAGATGAGGCAACCCTTGCGCTGTTAAACATCTGATCTTTGTTATCCTATGAGCAGAATCCTTCAAATGATCGAATAGTCTCCCTGGGTCTCAATACAAACTTGTAGTCATTCCTCTATGGAGACACATATAGCACTGCTGTAGAAAGCGGCAGCTTGAAATCCTTTATCGATGACTGATATGGTGTAACATCTTACTATATACACGTCATTTTTACATCCTGCTGGTCATCACACCCCTGTTTAACATTTTTGGTTTTCCTGTTTACCTTTATCTCAGGACATTAAAATTGATGATTTTTTAAATTATTTTTTTTTACACTGCAGACTCTGTCTAACATATCTTGCCCATCGAGGATAGTCCCTAATTGAAGCCAGAAGAAAGGTCAAGTTTCTCATTTGGATTATCAAGGGTAGGAAATAAAAGAAGAATTTCATCCAAAGTGGTGGTCTGAGCCAATAACAATGCTTCCCCGTAGGACTGACTGACACTGTCAATGATGCAGATCAGGGGCAGAGCCAGCACAAGTCAAACACAGCCCCGGCCAATCAGCATCTCCTCATAGAGATAAATTGAATCAAGGCGTCTCTATGAGGAAAGTTCAGTGTCTGCATGCAGAGGGTGGAGACAATGAATGGCAGTGCTGCTCACTGTGCAACACTGCCCCAGGAAGCACCTCTAGTAGCCATATGAGGAGTGGCCAGAGGTATCCATAAGCTGTAATGTAAACACTGCATTTTCTCTAAAAAAAAATACAGTATTTACTGCAAAAAGCCTGAACAAATGCAAAAGTCTGTATTTTTTTTCTGCTGGCTATAGTGTTGCTTTAAGTCATGAAAGGTTACCATTTACTGTACCTACCATTAGAATTAAAGATAAAAATATATATAATGTATTGATTTTCTGTTTTGATATGAAAATAATAATAAATTAAGCTTTATGTACTCTGGTATCGCTCGTTAAAGGCACACTACAATCACCTAAAGTCCTTTAGCATGCTGAAATGCTTTATTTGTGAAGTATATGCTGTAGCAGACTCCATGCCCCTGTGTCAGTTGTCCGTATCCCCTTGTTCGTTTCCCGAAAGACTTGTGTGTGGTCCCTAGTTATGCCCCAGTGAACACCGACCTCCCCTGGCTGTTAACCACAAACTAACGTCCTGTCATCTTCGCTTGAGTGCTTTTCGTGGGTGGCTGCCTTTCGTATAACTGAATGCATGTGGTCCATTGAATGGCGACCATTTAGTCTCCTGAACGCAGCCAGCAGTACTTGGTCGTCGAATGCCTGGAACTATTTTCAGCCTTGCGCTTCCGTGAATCCGGTCAAAGATACTAGCACTGCCCGTCCCACTTCCTGACCACCTAGATGAATGGCGCTCTGTAGATTATATAACAGGGAGAGCATTTGCTCCATAACAACCAGGGTGAGCATGCGTTGGTGTTCGCAAAGTAACCCCCGAAAGGCTGGATCTGTTTTGGGCTATCACCTCGCGGCTGGTCGGTCAAAACTTTGCTCGTCAATAACTTTTGTTCTACCAAGCCGATCTTAGCGCTTTTTGGATATGTTGTGCGCATAGATCGGGGCTATTTGGGAATATGGTTTATGTGGGGTTCTAAGTTTTGTGGGGTTCCTGTATTGTTTTTATGATATTGTAAAATATGTATGTAAGTTTCTGTGTTTGAAAGATAATTGAGTTATCCTAATTTGAGCTCAAATATCTCCCAAACACAAAGGCTCTTGGGAGAGAAACCCTTGTAATTTTGACTGAGAAACCCTATGCTAGGCGCAATGCATAAAAGCGGTGTGTGGCAGGAATAAAGTTAGTTGTACTCCCAGAGCTGTGTGTCGTTCAGTTACTGGGGAGGAGGTGGGTTATTTTTTCAGCGTTTTCTTGTTCCTGATTGGACTCTTGGTGATCCAGCAGAGGAAAGTCCCTGCCCTTTTCTTTTCATTCTGCATAAAGTGCAGGTTTCAATAGAAATGGTCACTTTTATAAATTAACCTTATTACACCCCCCTGGCATTTAATCAGACAACCAGTCCTGTTACTTCCTGGTTTGGTTAGCTCAGTGGAGCTATATTCAAGAGGCAGCAATTGTCC